ATCTAAGTTACCAGTAATAATCTTAAAAAGACGTGTGGCACTCGGGGACTGCCGCGGTAAAGCTATTGCATAGCATTTTGCATCAACTTATGCAATTATAATTATTTATTTGTTTTATTTATGCAGTATTTCTTTTTCTTTGATATTAATTCAAGTTACACTTTTTGAGCGTGGTGACCGATAAGAAAACAAATTTTTTTCTTTTATTAAATAAATAAATAATAAATGCACTTTGTTCATTCATATTCAAAACACTATACACAAATTTTACAAGTACAGCTATTCACTGTTGTACATAAATACCTATACACCTATATACTTTCTCATAAACAGCTGCTTATGTATTCGTCCGATTTCGGAGCAGCTCGTCTCGATTCGTGCGAGCTTCGTAGAGTCGTACAATACGTCTAGTTGCACGCACACATACACCGTGTCGAAGACTGCCGAAAAGAAACGTCGTTAGACAATACACGGCCTTCAAGCCACACCTCCGTGCTCGTCGGAGTGGGGAGTGTGAGGTTTTTTCGTTACGGAATTTCTGGATTCGGTCCCCGCGCTCAAGGCCCGCGATAGAAGCTATGCAATAGCTTAATAATAATCGACTTATCATAGCTTACGCTAGCTTGACCTTCTTTTAAAAGTAATATGCCAGAATTCTTATTTATTCTTTGATGTTGAAAGGCGTGGGTCGTTATGACTAATGTCAGATGCACGAGGAGGTACCCGTGAAGGTCATTTAATATTCTTAATAGGTAATCACGGTTTTTAATTTTGACGGGACAAGTATTCCTATTAACTTCATCAGATACGTGCGCTTCTTAGTAACGTAATTTGTCTTTACTTCGTCACGTATTAACACCTTTAATAAATATTGCATCACCTTCTTGTAAATCGAGGGATATTTCGCCGCCGCGTTAATCTTTTACCTTTTCTTTGTTTTCTATTAATTTATCTGTTATATAATTGTATAAATATTTCTTTCGCTTTATTACTATGATTGTGGAATGATTGTTGAGTACATTGTTTTTTAAAATTTACTCCGAAAGTGCTATTTGAGTCAGTGTGTCCGAAGACAATTTCTAAAGGTGTAAAACATGTAGCTTAATGGATCGTTTGATAATAAGACATTATAGCGTATGTCGTTGCACTAGCAGCGTCTGTTATATTTTGTTCATACTTAGCGATACGATATATTTCCAAAATAGTAGAATGGAAACGTTCTATTAAACCCATTGAATTTGCATTATGTGATGTACCAATGTGTGAGCCTATTTTATAAAATTGTAGTTTCTTTTAGTCACGTATTATTAAACTCAGTATCAGTGGGGAAGCCTCCATAGAAGCCGAAAAGCCGGGCATGCATTTTTTCATTAAACTGAATCAATCAATAATATCGACTAATAAAATAACTCGTAAACTGATTCAAACTATTTCAAATTTCCCGCGCACTCCACTGCTCGACACAGGTCGACCGATGACCTCATATTACCTTAGCGATACTGCTGCTGTCATAAAAAATGAGTTTTAAAAGAGCGATTAGTTGTTTCTCTCGCTCGCGTGGGCTTTTTACGGAGCTTTTGAGAAGACGATCGCTCTCTTTCTAACCTATGGCAAAATATTCTATAATGAAATACACCTACGATTGTATATATAGCAATTAGTATAGAGAGTTAAAGTTAGGCTTTAGGAATGAAGTTGTTGAGGGTGGAGGCGCGCGGGCAATGCGTTTGCAAGTTCATTTCACATTTTAATGTTTATTTACTCTGTGTGTTTAGCGTAAGCGATTTTAATATTGCGAGTTGAAAATTTATGCCTTTTTAAAGATTTTTTGTGAAAATGGAGGATAATAGTGTTTCTTGTAATGAATTGAAGTGTTTTAAAATGTAAATCGGAGAAGAAAAGGTAAAATCTTTAAACTTTGTTGAGATAATACACAAGATAAAGAACGTATTTCAGACTTATCAATTATCGCAATTAAAAACAGTTATTCATACGATTAAAACGTTCACCAACATTTTACGTGGACGTAATTAAATCGTTCCTTAAGAAGAGGACGATTCCATTTAGAATGTAAATAATTTGTTTTTTAATTTTGTACATAGTTTTTGAGTACTTTGTTCACGTTTTACTTTTGTTCATGTATTGTATTGTATGTAAATATCTTTTTCTTTCGATCAAACATACCCAAACGGCTTTCTTTAAAGCCACCGAAGCTATGCAATTGAAGCTATACAATCTATCTAGCAGTAGTATGCCTTCTGTGTGCCTTGTTAAACACGTCCTTGACAGCACTGAATATGAAACTGAGAAGTGGAGATAGATCAAGTCTGGTGTATTTTAAAAAAAACTGCTAAAAAATCTATATTTTTATCAATTTATATCTTGGGCTTGCCCTAGTTTGAAGATCTGGCTTCGTCACTGCTCAATACCAGGGTTGGCAAGTATCCTATTTGGAACACCGTAGAAGGAGAAATATTTAATTAAGGCACGAATTAACAACTTCAGGAGTAGAACGATTTGATAAAGCCTGACTTAAATATAGAATATATCCACAAATATTTGGCAAAAGGTTTGGTTTGCGTTTTCTTATTTTTGAAAAATCTTTTACAAATTTACGGTAGTAACCTACTATCCGAGGAAACTTTTAGTAGAAGTTCGGGGAAGTGGAAAGTCGATTACTGCTCTAATTTTGTTGTCATTGGGTTTTAAACCATTTTTTGTAATTTTGTGACCTAAGTAAAGTACTTCCTTTCTTAGGAATTCGCACTTGTCAAGTGTCATTTTGAAATTAGTTTGCATTAGTCGCTTAAATATTCGCCTTAATTTATCTATATGCTCTTGTAAACTATTGGAATAAACTATGATATCATCTAAATATACAAGACAGTGGATACCTTGTAAGCCTCTCAACACGTTGTCAACTGCGCGTTGGAAAGTTGCAGGTGTAGTTTTGAGTCCAAACGGCAGGCGTGTAAATTCAAAATTTTCTGAAGGAGTAGTTAAAGCTGTTTTTGGTCTATCTTGTTCATCTACTTCAATTTGGTGATAGCCACTTGCAAGATCTAAAGTACTAATATGTTAACTTTCCTAATTAGTCAAATAAATCATTAATGTTCGGCAGGGGATATTTATCGCCGGTTGTTATATCGTTAAGACGTCGGTAATCAATTACCATCATAAATTTTTGTTCACCCCAGGCATCCATTTTCTTTGGGACTATGTGTATGGGGTGTACCGTTAGGTTGGTTCAGAAGATAGGTGGGTTCTTAAAAATAGTCAATATTTATAGTATTATATTTTATTTATCTTACCTTCGCCTACATACAAGTTAGGTTTTAGGAAGGGGATCACTGGCCTGACGTTGGGAGGCGAAGACCAAGCGAAGTTTTTGAGTGTTGCAGAAAGCCAGCTAGCAAACGGAGCCGATAATAACCCGGGTCCGACGGTGATGAACGCCGTAGGCAGGATAGTAGGCCAACAGTCCGTTAGCACATAGCACACCAGCAAGTAAGGCTTAGGTAGGTAGGTGGATCCCCAGCGGGATCGACTGCACCTTGAATAATTAAAATTTTGAATGTACCTAGGTAAACAGGTTCGACGGTCGTTCGTTTAGGCTCACGCGCATTGCGAACTTCAAGCAGTCTTAGGTAGAAATTGACGAGGAATAGCCCGAACTCGTGCGTGTCTCGAAATTGTCCGAGTGCTTCCTATTTAGAGATCGGTGAGCAATGATTTGATGGTGCGCGGATTAAGATAATAGATACAAATAATTAGTGTAAATTTTCTATTACCAAGTGTTTGGTCGAAACAAAAAGACAGCGTATTTTTGGCTAAATTTGGAGGTCTGGACGAATCAAGCTTAATTCAATTTTTGAACTGTACTGTACGACTTGCAACTATTTAAACAATACATTTTAATAGTTTAAGAATTAAAATTTTCCAGGAATTTAGTTTTTTATAAGCAAGCAAAATACGGGACATTTTTTTCTTTCGAAAAGTTTCTTTAGAAAAAAAAAATAAAGCAGTCTACGGCTTTACATATAAAATATTAAATGTGTAAAATCATTAAATAATATATATTAATATACATATTTAATGAAGTAATTATTGTTTACAATACATAATTGTATGAAGTATGAACGGTAAAAATGAAGCGCTCAACTAACACAAAAATATCAGCATAGAATTTTATTTACAAAGTTTGTTACAGTTACCACTCATCATAAACTGTAATCCACAGAGCTGTAATCATTATAAAACTTATTAAGTCTTAAACGGTCCTACAATATAATTTTATAAAGTCAATACGAAATTGATTACCTAATATAAAATGCTGAGTAGTTTTTTATTTAAGTATTTTATTTTGGATTTTAAACATAACTTTTAACTCTAGAACTAGCAGTCTTCGAAAACAATCAAACTGCTTTGAATTTATGAATGAATTCGACCTATGAAAACATGGTTGTTTTTCAGCTTTCCTTTTAAGATTTTCGAATAATCGGAATGGTATTTGATTCCAGTAATATTTTGATATAAATGACATTAAAAATGCAAAATTTTATTTGAATGTTTTCATGTATAACTTGTTTTAATTTTAATAACCTAGCTATTGGCGTCTGAGTGTATAATAAAGCAGAGTTGTTAGTAGAAATAATTATGAATTTGAAATTATTTTAACTATCTAAGTAAGTGTTTCAAATACTTAAACAATTTTTCCATAATGTAGTCCAAGTATAATATTGATCAGTGTATTTATTATTGTAAAAAACAATGTGAATTTTTGACGTGTCGATTTTATGTTTCGTTTTCGGCCGCCATATTTGTCCTTTTATATTTTACTCTCTAATTTACTGTAGTTACCTATGGGCTTTGTTTACTATCTGAAGATTTGAATATTCTTTTAAATTTAATTCACAAATGTAGTAATACAAGTAGTAAACGTTCGAAAGTTATGCTGTATTTACGAAATCCTTTTCGTCTTTGTTGTTTAGGTAATCAGGATGGTTGTTGGTTCGACAACATACCCTGGCAGACAAGTGCTTCACAAAATGCAGCCGATGGGCATGACTCCACGCGAACTTTCAGAGTACGATGACTTGGCAACAGCGCTTATTGTAGATCCATATCTCGGTATTACCACACATAAGATGAACATTCGCTATAGACCATTGAAAACAAATAAGGAAGAATTAAAAAACATTATAAAGGAATTTATTCAAACGCAGGATTATAATAAAGCTTATAACAAACTGGCTAGTGGTGAATGGATGCCAAGACATTTTACAAAGAACAAGCATCAACAAAATAAACTCAGAGAACATGTTAGTATTAATTTATATTTATACATTTTTATCAGTCATACAAAATTGCTTGATTAATTTATTTTATGATTATTTTCAGATTTATCGATATCTAAGAGTTTTTGATAAAAAGGCTGGATTTGTAATAGAGCCTTGTTATAGGTACTCAATGGAAGGAAAGGTTGGAGCTAAAATATCAACAACTAAAAAGTTTTTTAAGCATGAAAGAATAGACTTTCTTGTTGGTTGCATTGCAGAAATGACAGAAGAAGAGGAAAAACAATTGCTCCATCCTGGAAAAAATGATTTTTCTGTCATGTATAGTTGTAGGAAGAATTGTGCTCAGTTATGGCTTGGTCCAGCTGCTTACATAAATCACGATTGTAGACCTACTTGTACTTTTGAAGCTACAGATCGTGGCAAAGCTTTTGTTCGTGTATTAAGGGATATTGATGTGGGAGAAGAAATAACTTGTTTTTATGGTGAAGACTTTTTTGGCAATGGTAATAGCTATTGTGAATGTGAAACTTGTGAAAGAAGGGGCAAAGGCGCATTTTCTGTAAAAAATGCACATAATGACGAACAATCTACAAGATATAGGTTTAGAGAAACAGATAATAGAATTAATAGGTATAAAGCTAAACAAAATAAAAAAACTGAAAATGGCAAAAACCCTGAAAAATCTCGAATATCAAATAGACAACTTTCAAATATTGTGTCACCACTCAGTATGAAAGAAATGAAACAAAAAGGATTGACAAAGTATGATGCTGAGCTATTAATAGCTCAGGGTTGTATTGCCGATGTGGTGGATGGACCTGTTGAAAAAGAATCACAAGGGAGTAGAGAGTCATCTGCTTCCAGAAGAGGTGAACGTTTGAGAAAAAGAGCAGATAGTGGTCGTGTGCCCAATGGTGTCTCCGCAACTGTATCAAGTACTGCATCACAGGGCCAAGCACCACCATCACAATGCTGTAATATAACTAGTGCACATAGCACATGTGACTCCAGTTCTGGTATTGTTTTGCGAAGTCACAAACGTCTAGTAGATACTTGCGTTCAGACACCATGTATTAAAGTTAGGAATAATTCCAAAAGTTGTTCAGAAGCCAAAATGGGAAGGAATCATAGTATTCCGAAACTGGATTCAGATTTGCAAAATACTGTTGACACAAATAATATACCTATCAAAGAAGAATTTACTAATGATATTTTACAAGAGAATTGTGAGTTAGATACAACTAGCATTGTGAGTAACACAGAAATGGAAACGGAGAGTCATAATGACATAAAAGAATCTCTGTCACAAAGACTTGAATCAAGTGCTCCTGTTATAACATTTAAGAAGGAATCCTGCGACCCTTGCAATGATCGGGAACAAAAACTTGACAAAGGTGAGTGCGTGAGTGATGAAGCATGTTTAAAAAGTGAAATTTGTGATTTTAGAGAAAATGTTAACCCAAGTGAGTCTAAAGATAGTAAAATGAACAAACACAAAGTTGATGTACCGCATCGGACTGAAGAGGCGAAAAAGGAATCTGAATCTGGACCACCATGGTTAGCCGATAATTCAAACAAAAGTAGTGAGTGCCCATGCACACCACCACGTAGAGGGTTGAAATTAACACTGCGGGTCAAAAGAAGTCCTGTGGTTGAAGAAGTGATGGATTGTGGAAGTACCACAGAAGCACCTGAATATGAAGTCTTACGGCTTGAGGGTGTAGATCCTGAAACTGCTAGGCGTCTTAAGAAACGGCGCCGGTCAAAAGAACGGCATCGTAAACACAGTCCAATCCGTCCTTTGCCTCCCATGAAGCGACTTAGATTGATATTTGGAAATGAGAGCCGAACTATAGATTTACCTACTGCTATATCGGCAGACTGACAGCCGCAACCACCTTATAGCTTTTTTCCACCGCTATTATTCAATTCTTAGTTTAATTGTCACTGACTAGGATTATTTTATCTAGTATTTATTTTGTGATGTGAACATTCATGTTTGAATATTGTGTGATAGGCATCAGTTTGATCAAAGTGATAATTCCAAGGTAATATTTATTAAAAAAATATGTAAAGTTTGCTGTCATTAGAACAGAATTGTTGAAGCCTTTGATCTTTTAGTGAAATTGTACTAATCAGAATGAACTTATATGTACACTTTATTGTTTGTTCTTTTTAAATTGAGGAAAATATTCCAAAATCTTCAATTTTATTTTTAACAATGCCTCAAACTGAAATTAATTTAATTTTACACACCTTACAAAGTAATGATAATTTAAATATGGGTTTGAATTTTATTCAAACTTGTCATTGCAGGTTCTTAAACATTGATACAATAATATAATAAATTGAGGGAAATTCAGTTTAAATATTGCAAATAAAATAATTACTACATATTGGTAATAGTGATATGCCGGGATTACTCAAGTTTGAAAAGTTGATTGATGATTTACACAATCCATATATTTTACGCTTATAATTGAAGTTATGGTAATGTCAGAAATGTCTTGCAAGCAATGTGTTGCTCTACTGTAATTAGATTTTAAGGTTTGCAGGTCATAAACAAAATATGTAAATAAGCTTTATACTTATCAGTTATCACTTTGTTATATACCCTTGTGTATTATGTATCTTTATTTATAATTGGTTATCCTCCATATTACAAAAAAAAACAAATGCCAGGACTGACAGGTAGTTTTATTGAGCTGACTTTTCATTACAATAATATTTTTTTAATTGTATCATAAGTTCATAAGTAATAATATACATTGATAATGTTTATATTATTAAAGCCATGATGCAATTTAGCTGTAATTACAGGATGAAAAGTTTGCATAGTTTATGTATTCTGTGGTATTATATAAAACGCTGTCAGAAATCATTTATTTCTCGGGAGATTTAACTTGAAATTGTGAGAAGTATTTTTTTTAATAGATGATGATAATGTATTCATTTGGGTGTAACAATTTTGACCTGATTCCCCGCCATGTGCATGGCTAATATGTATTTATATCTACATTTAAATTTTATTTAAAAATGTTACATCTATGTACATATATATGATACATTTAGTGTTAATTCACTTATCTCTACAAGTAAATATTAATTTCAAGCATGTAAGTGCTTATGAAAAGCTCGAACGAAAACAATAAAAATTTCATTGGTAATTTATTTTTTTGGTCTTACTTTTGGAACCAAACACAATAAGATATGTCAAGGCTATGTATGGGCTATGTTGAATATTTAACACTATGGTGGATCCCGTAACTTCACGTAAAATTGTAATTCCGGCTTAAAGTTACTTTTAGGACAAATGAGATCTCCATTTAATATTTATAAGTAATATTTTTGTAAATAAACAATTTAGGTAAAATTTTATATGATGCATAACTGACGTGAAAAAAATTGGATATCCATGTGACTTCACATAAAATTGTATCACTTATTTGCTTGACCACTGCCGAAATTTTTTTAGTTATGTAGATTTAGGATTTTTAGTGAAAATTTACGACTTGTACCAATTGAGTTATTAACTTTTATCCGCTGTTATGATCATGATATAAACAAGCATAACTACTAGTCCTGGCTCTGCTATTGATGACGGATATCCCTAAAATATTTAAAATTTTAAAAATGAATAGTTTGTTTTTAACATTTTACAACAACAAATTACTTTTATAATGTTTATTTTAAATTATAACACACCCTTGTAGAATTTTAAGGGGAAGTAATTTATAGAAAAATAAATATGTCACATGATGAAAAAGATATTATATTTTTTAATTCCTTTAAATGTAATATATCTTTTTACCATTCTAGACTCTGAAGTTAAAAGCACTTAAGTCAAATCTTTTTGCATGCAAAAATTTTACAGGGGAAGGTCATATTCGATTGGTGTGAAAAAAAATGTAGTATGGTTTTTATTTTTATTGTTTTTTATTACATAACTACGAACTAGTTACTTGTTAAATTATTATCTGAAATATCTGACTTAAGTTTTTATGTGCGCAAAGAAATCGCAACTTAAGTGTTTACTGTACCATACAACTACATAGCTTATTAATTTTTAAAAATATAAAAATTAAATATCAATAATATTTAATAATTATAATAGTGCTTATTAATTAAGTTTTTATAATAAACTTAAAGCTACTTTCTTCAGAATTTGATATATCGGGATCAACGTCAGTTGTGTCTGTAGCAGTTACTAAGTTCTGGTAAAAATTATGGAAAACATTCCGGTATTAAAGATAAGAGTGATATTATGCCACGTTTTTTTTCAATGCTTATTGGTACCGGCTTTGCAGTAATCTGCATCAAATTGAATCCCTTTTCTCGTCGCGTGTTCCGTTTGAAATTAATGGTATTGAAACATTCATCTCTTGACAGACATTTTTTGTTTTTTATGACGCCATACTCTCAGTTTCGTAACACAGCCACTTCGCATCATGCCATTTGAAAATATTTCCATCATCGTCTTTTTCGGACTACTAACGACCCTTTCAATAATCCAGCGAAGTCAAAAAAATCTGCTTGTCGCATTTCTTTAACTGTAAATTTTTTGCTGCTCGATGCATCCAATCATGTGGATGATAAATTTCAATTTCAGTTTTTTCTTTTTTTCTATAATTGCATGATCCAAGTCCACCTCCATATGTGTATGACCAGTTACCATAAATTTATGATTTATTAACTTAATAGAGGGTTTTACTGACAACAAGTAGGTAAACATTGCAGCCACATGGGTGTTCTTATTTTGTCCTCCGCAAGTATCGGAGTACAAAATTACTTCTGAAACTTCTTCAGGAAGTTCTTTTAAATATAAAAACAAACAAGAGGCTATTTGATTAGCTCCTCGACCCGAAATTCCCTCATACCACATGTGGTGCGTTGACATTCCAGTTCCGTTGTCATGTATCGTAAGATTAAAGGTCCAAAGTTGTCTTTTGTAAAAGGCTACAGATGACAGATGGGTTGGCAAGCATTGTTGTAGCTCAAGACAGACACTTGATTTTTTTATCTGTAACTGCGGTATTTTTGTCAAATTTCTTCTCATTGTAAGCCATATCAGCTGCTAGCAAGTGTGCATCCTGTTCTGTTTCAAGATCAGATTTTTTCGTCTCGTCCGTAGCAATGTTTAATTTAATTTTAAGCACGTCGCAAGTGTGACATGTGTCCACTTTTGGTTTTTTGAAACTTAAATTTAGTTTGTGGAATTCTCTACGGTAAATCTTGTCACTTACAGGATTTTCATGTGAAGTTGAATAAAGAGAATACATTTTTGATATTGTCAAATGCGATGGTAAATATTTCCGGGTGCTTTTGCGTCTAGTGTAGTGGCTTTCACACAGCGGAAACGAATTGATATGATTAATCACCTCTTCCATTTTTTGTTCAAAATGTTTGTTCGGTGGTGTATTCTTCCCACGTTTGTCTGTTTTTATAATCCCACTCGAGCTGCTACGTTTCTTTAACCCGATTAGTTTGACAAAATTATCACTTATTGATAGGGTTTTTAGGAAACAACCTTGATACACTGATCTTTTTTCACTATTAACGTTGAAATGATACTTGTAAGTGTGCTGTCTACATTTTTGTTTGTCAGGATCTTCGACACGAAGACGTTCAGTTTTTTCTCTTGGATAGTGATCAAAGATGAAATGAATGCTGCCCTTCGTATGACCCTTCGATCGTAAGACCCAAGATTCTGAACCTCCTTGTGTATCAAAGCGCGCTGTTTATCACTCATTTTCTGTCGGCACTTATTCCGACAGTTAGGTAATTCCTTGATTTGACGTTTTCCAATAGTTTTCCCAGAAGCTATCACATAAGATTGGCCAAGATTTCTTTTAATTTGGTTTCTTGCTTCTTTTCTCTATAGGACACTGGTTGGTTTTGTTGTAGCAAAGAAATATCTCCAATATTTTCAGGTGTCTCATTGTCTGGCGTTATATGCATATCCACTGATGCATTAGGAACAGGAATTTCCATTTCCATTGGAGAGTAGTTAGAATCGGCCACAGAATCGTCACTGGAAAAGTCTCTTTGTGGTTGTTTTTTTTTTCTTTTTTTTCTACTGTTCCAGATGTACTTGGTTGTGGATTACTGAATGGGTTTTCGTCACCTGTAAAAAACAACAATAATAAAACTGATAACAGATTGGAAATTGTGATGTTTTTAAATATAAAAAAACTTTCTAAAGAGGTGTGGTAATCTCCACTAAAGCTATTAAACAGTTTTGCATATTAGGTACCCATTGTAATAAAATGATAAACTAACGTTCACATCAAAAAAACTTTTACCCCGACACAAATTACTGGGATAAGAGCAGGAAAAAGAAGTTCACAACATACCTGTATTCTCATTCATTGCTGCACTATCATTATTTATGGCGAGATTCACCAATTATCTGGCCCTTGAATCCATTGCGATACAGTTAACTAACGTACACCACCACCGTCATATAGAAACAAATAACTAATGAAGAAATATGTATTTCTTTTGACTTAACTAAAATTTACCACTTTATCAGACCCTTACACAAGGGGGTAGGTACTTGAAAGTGTTATAAAAAACAAAAACAGTCCATTGTAAAAAACCACTTCAGTCAGTCAGCTTGCAGTACAAAAAAACTTAAGTCAATTTAAGTAATTTTTGTCGCCGCTCGATGTGTTGATAAAACATAAGTTGTATAGTACAGTCGGCTGTTGCGTCTAAATTAAGCGTCGGAGACTTACGTGCTTCTTCCAGTCGACGGATGTTATAAAAACACGACTGCTGTGACTTTAGAATTTAGCGCAAAAATTGACTTAAGTACTTTTGGCCGCCGTGTCTAGCATTGAGCTGTAGGAGCTCAAGTTCTATGCGCTCGCTGTAAATTTGACAGTACCCGAGTCTGGGTTCGATCCCGGATGGGTCCAATGAAATAGTTAATTGCGATTTTAAGTACTGATTTACCATTCACTCATCGATGAATGCGTGAGAAAACCGGCATGTCTTAGAAATAAAAAAAATATATTTTGAGTGAAGTCAGCCAACACGCATTAGAGCAGCGCGGCGGATATGTAGTGTCCCTGAAAGCTTCAGAAATGAGAGTAGGCCTGTGCCCTGGACGTATACAGACTATTACTTAAAATTATTACTCTTTATTAAAAAAGGATATATATGTATTTATTCCAGATATTATAATTAAATGTAAAATTTCCGTTTTTTTTTAGGTTTGAGACAATATTGGTACTTAATATTCTAGTCGTTTATTAATACCACGGAATTAAAAAAAAAAGATTATTACAGACTTTTGTGATTAATACATAGGTCACACTGAGTTCTGCGCTCCTGGCCGCTCATGAAGTGTGAATTACGAAAGTTATTAAAAAAAGTAACAACTAATTTTGTTACGATTTAAGATAAATTTTTTGACGGGAAATCGCGTCTGTTTTTTTATGACAAGTTAAAGTTAATGGTAAAAAGTAATCACCGCGAGAAAAGATTTTAAGGTCAATAACTTATATGATTTTAAAAGTTCTCCGCAAGATTGAGGACCGTAAGGCGTTGGTACGCAGAATAATTCGTGAAGTCGATCCTCAATTGCGACACTGAGCATGCGGCTCACCTGATGGTAAGTGACTACCGCCGCCCATGAACAACTGCAACACCAGGAGGATTGCAGATGCATTGCCGGCATCGAGTAGGCTCTTTTCTAGAAGGTCTCTAATGGTACGTTTACACGCTTGCCAAGCCTTGGCAAACTGAAAACAGTCCCATACGCTTTTGAATGCGTCAGTCTGCAATATATATCCAAGCATGGCGGACACCGAACTTGTGACGGCTATTGCATTTGGTTTAACGTACTTTTATTTGAAATGTAAGCAAAGTGAAATAAAAAAAGGAGAACTCGACGACAGCGAAGATGGTGGATGAAAAAGATTCATCATAATCGTACCAGGTAACTACTATTTTGATTTAACCATTATCTGTTGCAGTTGAGTTATGCCACAATACTTACGATATATTTATTTGTTACAGACAATTTATAGAAGAGAAATTTAATGAAATTTTATATGAACCATCTGGAGAGTATGATAACTTCTGCCGAATGAGCTATTCTGATTTTGAGTTTTTACTGCAAAAAATTTCACCAATGATATCCAAGCATGATACAGACTTCAGAGAAGCTACTATACCAGCCGAATTTCGTCTTGCCATTACGCTACGATTTTTGGCATCTGGTGATTCTTACAAAAGCCTTCACTACTTGTTTAAAGTATCTGTCTCTATGATATCAATAATCATTCGTGAAGTTTGCCGAGCTCTTAATAAAATTCTAAAGGATCTAGTTAAGGTAGGAATAAAACAAAACATTATGTTATACATTTATTTAGATTTTAATAGAATCATAGGAAATCTGTTCTATGAATGTATGTTAGCCGACTGCTTTATTGTTTAATTATTTATTAATTTAAATAAGAATTATGTCGACGAATCAAAACCTTCGCAAGCATTCAACATAGCCATGTTTATGATGTTGGTTTCACGTGCGGCTGGGTTGATGATTTGGTCCGATATGATACGAATAGATGACGAGGGTGCTGTTGATGTAGACGGAGCTGGAGCTATTGGAGTTGGTATATGTTTTGCCATGTCTGGCGCTGAATAAGAAGTTTGTGTGTTTGGAGAGGGAAAAAAACTTTGGTTGTTATGAATAGGTTCAGAATAAACACTATTAACTGATGTTGGCCGACTCGGAATGACTTGAGGAGATGGTGTTGAATATGCACCAGCCATTGACGACGGTCGAGAATAATATTGAGGGTATGGTGTATGACGCTCATTTGATTTTTGACTGATTCTGTTTATTAAACAACCCATCTATTTGGTACATCATAATTTTTCGTTCATCAGTTGACAGTTCACGTAGCTTTATAGCCAATAATTTTGCGTATAGATCGCAATCATCGTCTTTGTGAGCAGGTATATTTTCATTCTGCCTTTGACCCAAAACATTTGTTAATTGTCCAAAAGCCACGGCCATTTGCTTTTCAGCCGTTTCAGAAGCAGGGCGACGACGTTTATTAGTAACAGCTTGTATGAATGGTGGTCTGGATGGTGATCTAGATGGTGGTGTGGATGGTGTGGTAACCGTACTTGTACGGTCTCTTATCAGAGGGTCATTCTCTGTCTGATCTGTATCTTCTTCTATTTGTTGTGATTGCTGCAAAAAAATAATATACTTAAACTTACACTTCATTTACTTTCTTTTTACAGATGCCCACCACAGCAGAAGGATGGCTTAATTTAGAAGAAGGATTCAGGACTAAATTTCCACATTGCATAGGTGCATTGGATGGCAAGCATGTAGTCATTGAAAGCCCAACGCATAGTGGAACAGAGTATTTCAATTATAAGAAAACTTTTAGCATTGTCCTTTTGGCTTTAGTGGATAGCAAATACAAATTTGTATTCGCAGACATCGGGAGTCAAGGAAGAATAAGTGACGGCGGCGTCTTTAATAATTGTTTACTATGGAAAAGAATAATTAGAAACGAGATAGATTTTCCACCACCATGTCCACTTCCAGGATCGAATATTAATATTCCATACGTGTTTTTAGCTGACGGTGCTTTTGCATTGAGTCAACACGTAATGAAACCCTACCCTGGAAACCATGAAGTAGGCTCACCAAAAAGGTTATTTAACCAAAATTTATCTAGATCCCGAGTTGTAGTTGAAAATACGTTTGGAATTTTAACTTCAGTTTTCAGAATATTTAGACGCCCTATCAATTTAGAACCACAAACTGTAACGGAATTTATGATGACTTGTGTATTACTACATAACTTTTGAGAACAAGTAAAAGTTCTTCAAATCAATATAGTCCTCAGAGTTCGTTTGACGTATATGATAGTAGTGGTAATATGGTTACCCCTGGTTCATGGCGTAGAGATAACGACGAATATAATGCATTGCAAAATTTACCACAAATACCACGAAGATCTCCGGTGAACGCCAGAGAAGTCAGGGAAGAATTTACTTCATATTTTAATAGGATTGGATAAATTGATAAAAATGTATAAATAAATGTAGGTATAATAACCAACGGTGTTTTTTTTATTTAGAATAAATAAATTTATTTACTTACTGTTTCGGTGTTTATCCCTTCATTGCAAGTATATACTGGTAGTAAAAATGACTCCATGGTTTCGTAAGCATACCAAGTTGGATTGTATATTTCTTCGGCACCTAAAATAAAATAAAAACATCGAAAATTAGAGCGAGATAGTTGCGGAATAATCGAGAAACTAACCAACGCTTTTAAACATAAGTTACACCTTGCTAAGCAGACTATCAAAATAATTATAAATGTATCGTAGGAACATACCTGCGCCAGAACGCATAGATTCACGTTTTTTTTCAAGTGCTTGCGAAAAGTAGTCGTAAAAATAAAAAGGCATGAAATACTGTCCCGCTCTGCTGAGCACGCCAAGCTTTTTAGAGGCCAATTTGGCCTTCTCTTCCAAGTGACCACGAAACTGCACGTCACTCGATATGTTGACGCCGAGGATTCCGATACTGGCTGAGGCAACAAGGGTTGTTTTTAGCGGTTAACGCGCAAACTTGTGTCTTCTGGGGGTTAAACTGGACTAGATTTAGTCGCCCCCAATCCGAGACTGTGTGCAGCAAAGACTCGACTTCAGACACAAGTTTGTCCCGGCACTCGGAGACGTTTTCCGAGAACGGAGAAATATTGGCTCGGCCGGTGTAAAGAGCATCACCAGTGCTGTCATCTGCATAGCAATGAATGTTACGGGTTTGCAACATATCATTGATATGCAGAAGAAACAGCGTCGGCGATAGCACGCAGCCTTGGAACACCAGCGTTAATAGGCTTGCAATGGGAGCTTGCAATGGGAGCTTGCACCGTCTACAACGACCTTGATGCTCCGATCTGCAAGAAAGCTGGTGATCCAATCGCACAATTTCTCGGGAAGCCCATAGGAAGGGAGCTTTGAAAGAAGCGCTTTGTGCCAAACCCGATCGAAGGCCTTCGCAATGTCCAAACTAACGGCCAATGCCTCCCCCTTGAACTCTACTGCCTCCGCCCATCTGTGAGTTAGGTAGACCAGAAGATCACCAGCTGACCGACCACGGCGAAAACCGTATTGGCGGTCACTAATCAGCTGGTGATCCTCAAGGTACCTCATGAGCTGGCAGTTTACAATGGACTCCATTGTTTTGGAGAACAAGGAGGTGATGGCGATAGGCCGGTAGTTGGACAGGTCTGAGCGGTCGCCTTTTTTAGGGATCGGGTGGACGAAAGCCATATTCCATGATTTTGGGACTACGCCTAGGGAGTAGGAGTACCGGAAAAGACGAGTTAAAACCGGTGTCAACTCTGGAGCACACGTCCTCAGCACATTTGGATTCCATCAGGCCCACTCGACTTGTGGATGTCCAGGGAAAGGAGTGCTTTGCGAACCGAGCGCTGTGTGAACTGCACTTCCGCCATGGAGCACTCACACCGCGGGATGGTCGGCGGCGTACTCCTCCCGTCATTGAGGGTCGAGTTGAACGCAAAGAAAGAGCCTAGAAGATGATCGGCTTTCTCCTTTGCGGTATGGTTCCAGAAGGAAGGCGAACTAGTTTCTCGCCAATTCTGCCTACGTGCTCTGACTTTGCCTTGGCAATGACTCTTTTGAAGGACCTAGAGGCGGAATTATACTTCTTTTTTAGAGCGCTGGTGTTTACATCCCGAGACGCTGATGCGTCAGCCCAGGCTTGGTAGCACTCCTGCTTATAGCATGATGCTATTTTACAGGAGCGACCAAATCATGGCTGAGATTTGCCTCCAATGGGCACCACAGAGGAAGGAATAAAAAGTTCCATACCCTGAAGTACCACATCAGCGACAGAATCCGCAACAACGTTGGGATCGTCCGGCGAGAAGCAAACCCGCCCCCAAGAGTAGGATGCAAAGAAAGACCACATCCCATCCCAATCGGCTGACCTATAGTGCCGAACACGGCGGCAGCCTGCAGAATGCAACTGCGATTTCAGCGTGAGTGGCACCACACTCCGAACAAGACAATGGTCCGAGGAGCCTAAAGGGGCGTCGACGGAAATCTGATATCCGTCCGGGTGAGAGGTCAGCAGAAGGTCTAACAGGGAAGGTGCATGATCCTCCACATCTAGAATCCGCGTAGGCGAAGTAACCAGTTGAGTCAGGCCATATGCCAAGGCAAAATCATGAACAGATCTCCCCGCATGATCGGTTAAACGTGAACCAAGCCATTCGGCGTGATGGGCGTTAAAGTCGCCGAGGATCACGATCTCTGCGGAGGGGATCTGCTGTAGCAACGAATCTGTAGCCATTTGGACGTGGTCGAAGAGTCGGTCTGTTTCGGCATTACCGCTATGGGACCTATAGAGGCACCCGTAGACGCGCGGATGGTCGTCGCTGTCTACGCGTAGCCAAAGGATGGACAGGTCCGAACCTTTAAGTCTGCCGAGGCGTCGAGAACAGATGTCCTCTCTGACATAAACGCAAACTCCAGCCCGAGGCACAAAGGAGTGTTCCAGTTTGTACCCCGGGTAGGAGAGATACGAGACATCAGCCGGAGAGGACACCTGCGTCTCGGTCAGAAAGAGCAGAGCCGGCCTCGCCGTCTCGAGATGGTAGTGGACGGCGTTTAGGTTAGAGTGAAGTCCCCTGATATTGCAGAAATTCACGGACAGCGTGGCAGGGGTCGCCTTGGCCTTGTTGCTCCGTTTGACCCGAGCAGTTGTAGTCTTGAGCGGAATTTTGCCCCCCCCCCCCCCCCCCCCCAGGATACGCGGGGGAAGCCTGAGCACCCACGCTCAGAAGTGGAGAAACATGGTCGTGGATGTTCAGCGAGGGATTCTCCAGAGGTGCTGGTACCCTCCTGGGGTAGTCTATCATTATTTAATTCCGCTACCATGTTGATGGAGGGGGGGGGGATTTGGGCCTCTGGCCACCTGCACTCACCAGACGAAATGTGGAAGCAGAGCTTCCACTTCACGCCGGTATTCTGTGAGGTCGTGGTACCACCCCGGTTTGAGCCGGCCCATACGTGCAACAGCAAAGCTGCCGCGTGGCTCTACCACTTATAAAGTGGTCCGATACTTTTATATTATATTTGACCAAAATCTCGGCTGACCGAGAATAACAGGGTCATTTAAAATTTGGAAATTGTATTGGTTAAAAAAAAATAATATTTTATCAAAGTTATGAGTTTATTAGAAAGATTTAATCTTTCCATTTAGAAATGAAAGACAACGGCTACGACTACCACGGCTAGCTTTACAATACCCCATTCGATTTTTCCAATTTTTCAGTACATTTTCGATTGTTTTGGGCCTTTATTTCATCAATGGCAACTTCGCTTTCATGTTTCAAGTTGTCAATCGTCTCTGGATGGTTAGCGTAACACTTGTCATTAACGATTCCCCCACAAAAATTCTAACGGAGTAAAATCGAAGCTTCGAATTGGCCAATTGACATCAGCATTTCGGATGATTATGCGATTTTCGAAAACAGTAAGCAAAAGATCGATAGTTACGTTGGCAGTGTGGCGCGTTGCGCCGTCCTGTTGAAACCAAATGTCGTCTATGTCATCCTCTTCAATTTTCAGAGACAAAAATCGCTGAGCGTAGCGCCGTAGGTAGTGTAACGTCGTTTCTTTGCTCATTTTCGTAGAAAAATGGTCCTCAATGCCGCTAGACCAAAATCCGCACCAGACGGTCACTTGTGGATGCATTGGTTTCTCCACGATGACGTGTGAATTTTCTGAGCCCCAGATGCGACAATTTTGCTTATTGACGTATTTTCTGAGGTGGAAATGAGCTTCATCGGAAAAGATGATTTTTCGGTAAAAATACGCATCATCGATCAAGCGGTCAGCGGCCCCTTGATCAAACCGAAAACGCATCGGATGGTCATGCGGCTGCAGCTCTTGCACTAATTGAACTTTGTAGGCATTCATACAGAGATCTTTTTGCAAAATTCTTCTCAAAGAAGCGCGTGAAATGTTCAATTCTTGAGAATGATGACGAGAATTCAGAAGAGAATTGTACTTGTGTAGTCCTTGTAGTAGTATGTGAGCATGCACATCGGCACCAAGTAGAACGTCAATAGATCCTGGCTTGTGAAGGTTCGGATCAGCTAGATCCAACTGCATATACGAAGGCCAAGTATCTTGTGCGAATTCACGTGACGGCACCAATGAAGTGAGTTTCTTGAGTACATATGAATTTAACTCGAATGTGGAGGATTCGCATTTTGTGGAATGTATTGTAAGTGTAACCATAGATTTTGTAGTTACCACTGATGAGTTTGATATACCAGAGATCCTGCCAATAACGGGAGTGCGATCAAGATTCAATAACTGTGCTGCTGCTTCAGAGATGAAAGAGCCCTGTGAGCTCTGATCAACAAGAGCTCTTAGTGTATAGATACCATTGTCTCTGGACTAAACCTTTATTTACACCTGTCTCTGGACTCAGCCTTAAAGTTTACACCGAGGTTACAAGAATTACTAGGAGTAGATGTATTTTCCTTTGGTGTAGCGGTATCCTTTTGAGCTTCATCAGAAGTGTTATTCTTGGGAGAGGTTGTGAAATGTAGTAACGTATGATGTCGACATCCACATTTTTTGCAGTTTGTACTCTGTCTACAATTGAACATGGAGTGACCTTTGACCAGGCAATTGAAACATATATTGTTTTTCTTTATAAAATCTTGGCGTTCAGAAACCGTTAATGCAGAAAACTCTTTACAGTGGCAAATATAATGATTCTGTGAGCAGTAAGTACAAGCGCTTTCGACTTCAGTAGCAAAGCTTTTAACTGTAGTTGTTTTTGGAGTATGTTGAACAGATGTCGGTGCGTCTTTTCTAAATGTTTCTCGAGGTTGTGAAAGATTGACCATTTCCATTGTGCGGAATCGTTTTTCTAGGAAGCTGTTTAGGTCGTCATATGTGGGAATATTTGTTGAACTTTCTAACGACTGTTCCCAAAGCTTGTGAGATTCAATGTCTAACTTTGAGACTAGAATATGAACGACTATTGCATTCCATGAATCAATCTTCAAATTTTTTAGAGATGTGAGACATTCGCTAGTAGTGTCTAGTAAATCTTTGATACCTTTTGCTGATTCAGTTGTTAGTCTTTTTTGAGTTAAAAATCGATTTAGAATATTATTTACAATCACTCGCTTATTCTCATATCTTTCATTTAGTTTTTTCCATGCATCATCATAGTTCGCTTCAGTTAAAGAATAATTTTTGAGTAACTGTTCGGCTTCTCCGGTTAAACTAGATTTTAAATAATGATGTTTTTCGATTTTAGACAAGCGGTCATCACTATGTATCAAGGAAAG